GACCGTCGGATCACGGAACTCCATCGTCCCATTCTCAACGTTGACGAGAAGGTCGACTTCCTTCTGCTGCGTGACGATGGTGTTCGTGCTGCCGCACAGCCAGCTTTGCGTGTCCTTCAGCATGTCGAGCTGCTGAAGCGGTAAATATGGTTGGAAGAACGCGTCCTGAGTTGCGGACATCAGACAAACGAGCCGTACGGACCATGTATTGGTACGCACCTTGCCAAAGAGATCCAGGGGCAGGCCAACATACGCCATCATGCTCTTGTGATCGGACGTCCGCAATGATGTCGGTCGTGAGAGCGTCTGCGCTCGTGCAGTAAGTGGTGGCGAACCACAGTCGTCCAGGTTCTGGAGGAGGCCTAGGTGATCTCCATGAGTAATACGAAGGCTGTAGGTCACACACGGAGCATACCAGGCACCAGAGTGACCAGAGAGTACTGGTATGTGCACAATCGCTCTACCGGGTGACCAAAGAACATGATCTACGACGGGATTCAGCGTCGAATGTGCTCATCACACCTGCTTGCCGTACCTTCTTCTGCAACATGAGAGCCTTCAAAAGGACAAGTGTTCGTTGCCGGAACGTATGCACGAGTTCCCGCCTAAACGCATCAGTACCCCGTAGCCCGTTAGCCTTGTTCTAGTACACTCACAGACTAGTCCCTGAGGTAGCCAGCCGTACATGTCAGTACTGACGACACTAATAACCAGAACAACGCGCACCCATGTACAGCCCGCTCTCCGTCATCTGGCTCCGGAGTGAGTGTTCGAGCGATGTGTGGAAGTCATCCAGGATGCTCATATCAGAGAAGTCGCGTTGCGCGAATAGCGCGCGAGTGATCACGCCGAGCCGGTCCCTGCGTCGACCGTGAGCCTATTTCGGTGTGCATGTAATCGACCGCTTACCTGATGAGCCCGAACACGGGCTTCGAGGCGAGGACGACGACGGCTTTCTGCACCGTCGAGCGAGTAACTTCGGCCTCCTTTACCAGCAGCTCTGCGGCGCTGATTTGCCGGTTACATCTACATGGCATGTAAGGGTCAGTGGACGGAGACATTGCGGAAGACTCGTACGTACGAGATTCCGAAGATGGTGGAGGGATTAGGGCCAGTCGGGACAAGGTGGAAGTAAGAGTAGTCTTCCGACGACTGTGGGGAGTTCCGGTTCTCGGTAATAAAATAAGGACGCGCAGCACTTACCAAATGCGCGCCGTCTGGGAGCGCAAGGAAGGGAAGGATCTTCGCAATCTCCTCGTCCTCGCAGGCTGCTCCTCTAGAGAACTCGATCTTGGGGCCGACCTGAGACTGCGATGAGGACCTGTATAATGGCTAGCAGCGGCGCACGTACCAAGTGGTCGAAATCCACCAATGCAATGCCGAGCACGAGCGGTCCCTGGTTTGCCTGAGGCAGCAAAGACTCGGGCCGTGCCTTCTTCGAATACGAGTATGACGTTCCCTCGGACCCAGCTGACATCACGCTGTCCGTGTCACTCTTGCCTCTCACGCCTACGAGAGGACGAGCAGATGGCGGAGGCGAAGCCAATGCCAGGGGCACGGGTGGTGGACTCGAGGGCTTCTCTCGTTCCTCCAGGACCGAAGGTGCTACGCTGGATATGGGAGACTCGCCGTCGTCCATTTTGCGTGCGAAGAAGCTCCTGTCGTCATCGACGTCTGAGCTGAAGTCCGTGTCCAGCGTGTTCCGCTTCGAGTACGTCAGGCTTTGGCGGATATACGAGACAGGCGTGATAGCAGAGGGCGTCACTTGGTCCTCCTCTTCTTGTAGACCGAGGTGAGCCGCAGGGCGCGGCGAGTGTGCAGGGGAAGACAGCGCGATGGATCGCTGCGACGCGGTGTCGCCGTCAGAGAAAGCAATGTCGGAAGAAGCACCCGACACGTCGTGTTCGGGCTCTGGTTGTAAGAGGAAGTGCGTATTGAGCGCGATCGAAGACGGCGAGTCGTCGAAAGGCGACGGCGTCCCAGAGGTGGCACTAGCCATCTGTTGAACGCGCACAGCCATGAGCAGACGGGAAACAGGTACACTGCATCAACACTGCATCATGATACCGTACCTTTCAGCGGAGGAGAGTAAGCAGAGAGTAAGAGCACGAAATCTGCCGCTCGTGATGGCGATGTTCTCGGCGACTGGTCTTGAAGACTGGTCGGTCGTGTCCGCGTACGGAGTGAGTGTAAATGTCGGTCAAAAGAGCGTCGTACGGTTCGTGCAGGAGAATAGGACGGCGATGTGCCAGACTGAGAGAGGACTCGGTCACTCTGAGGTTGGGTTGCCGCAGTAGCGGGGCGTAGCACGTGCGCCTCGCTTCAGCGACGCGACACAGTCACGCAGGTGCCGGCGGCCTGAGCCTCACTTTCTCTACTTGAAGTGCTTTTTCCCTTTAGTGACAGTTCTGGGCCACAGTCTAACGCGAGCTGAGGATTGTATACTTATTGCAGCACTAACTGCTTCTTGCAACTCAGAACAAGACATTTCTGCAATGGTGCCTCTGCTATACGAATCGTGCCGTTCATCACGGCGTGGTGCCACCGGCCGCGAGACGGAAGAGGATGCCTGAAGGCCCTGAACTTGAAGTCGTGTTTGTGCGCTCTCAGTCAAGTTGTGTTGCACATCAATGGTTGGATATGCGCTCACGTTATTATAGGTCATTATACATGACATTCTACAGGCTGTACTCATTTACAGCACTAGGGTACCCTCAGGCTAGCTGTTCCCGCACACACATCTACAGCACCTCTGTGCTCGTAAGGGACCTGAGGGGAGGCTCCATGCACATATCTAGCAGTACAAGAGCAGCGAGGATGGTAGTTTGACGGCGCCTGCGAGAAAAGGTACGTCTGGTCATCATTCGTCTCCGGTCGCATTCCGGCTGGCTACGTCGCTTGTCTGGCTGTACCTCATTTTTATCGCCTTCTCTTTCCTGACTCAGGCCTGTGTCCGTCCAGTTTTGACTGTTCTTTAGCCGCGTACGACGCCTTCGTGCGTCGAATATTCACAGAATTGTGGAATGAATATTCCCGCGATCTCTTGCACGCCATGCACATGGGAATGTGAACATCGTGTATCCTATGCTTGAAGACGTAAATTATGCAGGAGCACGAACAGCAGAACTGGTGTCGCAGTCTGATTATAAGTTTGGCTTAGTGGTCTCGAACTCAAGCAGCCTCTCTTTTGCTCATAGCTGCAAGCACAACGTCTGGTCTGCCAAATGACAGCAACCCACTGCTGCATAGCGTTCACACATGCGGTGCTCCTTATCGCCTCTTGTGAAGGCCACGAGTATGTTTGTGTGCGTCTTCGTACGCGCAGCATCATGCGATACGTCTTTCCCATCCCAAAGACTAGCTGTGATTGTTGTACGTACTGGTGCTAACACAAACGGCTGCAAACTCGGTAATGTTCTGGGTTAGGTATACCGTCTTGTTGCTAGCTGATGACGGCATTGTAGACATTCTAGGCCATGATTAATAGGTCTTCATGTCGATGCTTACTACGCGGCACTCCAATATAGTGCAGTGAGCAACTGCAGCACTGTCTTGAAGTCATTACGACTGTTCCGGATTACTGTGAGGAGGACCAGGTGCGCCCAACAGACAGTGTACCCAATACAGGACATGATCACCCTCCCACAACATTCAGCGTTTGGGTGATGCACGCGGACAGCGGCGACGGAAGCACTGATAGGATGGTAAAGGGCTGTGCGAAGGATGACATGAATTACAGGCTCGTTCAAGAGCTACCTTATACGCATGTCACAAGGCTTGACTTCTGGTCGCAACCAGTTCTGATAAGTATGCAGCATGACCTACGTCTTCGTAGATCTTTCCCTCCTTTCGCGATGGCTGCTCCCTGGGACATATATACCCACGAACTCCTGAGGACGTACGCTTGCTATGGCATGCCATTGTGGAACCCTCGGCCGGTATCCCACCTTGCCAGCGGTGTCAACATTGGCGACGTCGGCCGCATCGAAGACGGCCAATTTGAGTGCCTCTTCAATTCAGTCAGCCACGCTAGTCACTGGGAAGAAGAGCTTCCTGCAGATTTCGAGTGGTTGCGATGGGATGCTATCAGGGGCCTTTGCAAGCCTCAAGTCATCAACACTTCAAGTCTATCAAGCCGTAGTTTCCGAAAGGTTAGCGTTGATGGCCACATTTCGGGGTGAGTACGCTTGACGACCATACATATATACAAAATCTTGACCTCACTGCTGTGCAACAGAGGTTCGGCGGCTGGTGGAGGCCTCTCCTTCAAGTGTACGGAGGACCGCGGGGCCGTTCTTCATTTGCCGACAAATCAAGCCATCGGCTGAAGCTCTCCAGTAACAAGATCATTCCATCGTACGTCCAGCGTAACCTCAAACGTTGGCACCGGTTCGCCACGGAGGTAGCCCAATGGGACGTCAGAGAGAATGACCTCGTCTTTGTCTATGGCTATCTCAAAACACAGATGTGGGCCGTTGCTGCCTGCATCGACCATGGTCGTGATGCCACTCTGTCAATTGGCGCGGGTCATGGGGCAGTAGGAGCGTCGTTCGCTGTCTCAGGATCCGCCGGTTCTTCCCCTGTCCTGCATTCAGATTACGAGCCGCAGGTACCATCTATGTCTGATGGCCTACCCACAAATCAGTGCGTCTTCGTAAACGTCTACAAAGGGAGGCATCGCCGAAGCGGTGTCTCGGTATCCCTGTTATCTTGGGTAATGAGGGCTGCCGCCGGTCCACAGAGGAAGAGACGAAGGGACGATGACAGAGAAGAAATTGGGGTGACTTCGATGCCGCAACACATTTTGGATGAATACTCAGATGATGGCGAAGTACCTCCCTATTCACTACGTGTAAGTCATGTCATAGAGCTACCGGTAATGTGGCGTACTCATGATCACAGACCCCGGATCCGCTTGATATGGCTTTGGAATACATGTTTCGCGTACGTGATTCATATGTCGGTGTCGAGCTCACTTATGCAACATCCAAGCAAGTTGTCGCAGGGTCAATGCGTTATCATGAGCACGGATGACCTCTACGATCTACAGAGACAGGAGGATTCATTGGTACGGTCGCCCCGTAACTAAATATGCCCGGTAGCCCAGACTAATTGTCGTTGGCACAATATTAGAAACATAGCCCCAATGCAACATTGCCGTTATACCATGGCGGCTTGATCACTAGGCCGAAGTACGGCCGGCGCGCAGATATCAATATACCGCCTGGGCATACCATGGATACTGCATTTTCAAGCGGTGCTGTACGTGATGTTTTCATGAGTTCAATCGAGGCGTTGAATTGTTTCTGCTAGGCTGCCAAGGCTGTTAACTCCTGGAGTGAGAACAACGTGCTTTCCCGTTTGATGTCCCCTGTTATACAGGTGCGAGTAACGCGATATGTAGCCACAGTCTTAGTACTGATGCACGCATATTTCCACTTTCCAGGCCGCATCGCAGAACAGAGTGGTCACCAACATCGATCCTCTAGGCAATACATCTGCTCGGCTACCCGACGGCGTCACCAGCGGAGACCCGGAGCGGGTCGCCACGCCGATGCGCTGTTGTTGGGGTACATGCGACGCGAATATCGAAGACGCGACTTGCCGAGGCGTCATAAGGCATCTCAGGGAGGCACATATACAGGATATAACGGGAGAAAACATCCAGTGTCGCTGTGGCCCTTGCATATCCATCATGGATGGGCCATCCAGGATGGGCATACATGTCGCTGCGATTCATCTGCATCTGACCGTGAAGATATGCCCATTTTGCGGGGAATTTTTCGGCATGCTTTCACCCATGGAGCGGCATATCGTCAAAGTCCACAGCGGGCGGCGAGAATAATGTGAGTCAATAGCAATATTTGTGGCTACATAACGGTTCTCTGATCTGGTTGATCTACTCCAAGGTCCTTCGTGAAGCGCACACGGCAATGTGCTTAGCGACATGCACTTGCTATCAAAGAGCAATTTCTGGTTACAAAGCGACGTGTGTATGATATCGGATTGTGCGAAGCAAAGAAACATCCGTGATACATTCGATGACACGTGAACAGTGCATGTTTTGACACTCCCGAGAGCCGCTCTCCCTTGTTCTGTACTACTCCCCCTCTAATACAATTCAGGCGTCGTTCTGAGCTGTCCTGCATCCTCGCGAAGCGAAGTACTTTTAAGTGTGCCTCGAACTTAGAGCCACGCTCGTGTGTGTCCAAGAGGATTCTCAGCGGCGGGTATCACTGGGATTGCGCTGAGACGTCTACAGAGCTGGTATATTGCGAGATGTGTCAGGAAGTGGGTGACTACTTGACGACTCTAAGCGATAGCAACGGTCTCGCAGGTGCCATGCATGTCTAGATCTAGACAACTATCTTGAGAACCTCAGCTAAATACTGTACATGCCACATTGGATAGATCTCGCTGAGGGTGCTGGAGCGTGGTTATACATGACGTACTCCATAACTCACAACAAATCGTGTCAATGATAGACTACAGTACTAAACAACAGTTCCTTGTAGTTCCGCGCAAACGGACTCGCACCACTGAAGCTAGATCAGCCCGTCTTCGCCTTTAGCTGTCTCCATAATGTGGAGAATAACACGGCGCCCACGCATACAAGGCCTATCTGCAGCCCCACAAAGTTGAGCATCCCTACTTGCACCCCGGCACCACCCCAAACGGCACCGCTCACGCGGCCGCTGAACATGCTATATTGGATCGCAAGACTGATGCGGCCATTCCACTCGCCAGGCAGCTGCTTCGACAGCAAGCTGAGCACGATCGTGCTGATGATGTTGAACCCGAGCGCGATCAAGAACCAGCACGCAAAGAAGCTCCCGTACGTGACGGTCCGCGTCGCCAGGATTCCCACTGCGGTGAGCAGGCCCGCCAGCCCGAGCGTCGTCCCAACGGCGAGTGTGTGGCGGTCCTGCACCCGGCGCGCGACGAAGAGGTTGGCGAAGAGGAGGGGGAAGGTGGAGACACCGCCGAGCGCGATGATGTTCCCCGCGGCGAACGGGCTGAAGTGGAAGGGGTTCAAGGGTGAGTCGGAGGAGGTGAAGACGGGGATATTGGCCTCCCATGCCCCGAGGATGAAGAAGCAGGTCATTGCAAACCAACACATGGTCGCTGTGACTCCGATCTGAGGGCCCGTCATGCGGAAGCGGCTCGGGCGGGGGGCAGGCACGGTCGCTTCCTCTACTTCACTCCCCTGAGTAGCTACTTCCTGGACCGCTGACACAGTCTTCTCCTTACCATGCATACCCTCAGCGCGAGATTGGTAGGCGCTAGTAGCGTGAACCGTCGTTGAGCCCTGGCCAGCCTGAGCACTGTCGGCTTGTGGCCGCTGGGGAGCTTCCAGAGAGGAGGGAAGAGCGTGCAGCTGCATCTCAGATGCAACGGGGCGCGCTGGTGAGACATCCTCGTACGAGACTGTGGCGATTGCCCAGAACACCGCCCAGATACCCGCAAGGATCCACGTCGGGCTGGTGTATCCATTGAACACCGAGTTGGAGAATCCTATCTTGTAGCTACATGGATAAAGTCAGTGGTCAGCACCATAGCTGATGCGCGAACAGACACATACAGGAGACCGCCCATGAACGGGCCGATACTGAATCCGAAACCCTGGCCGAGCACAAGCCAACCCGCTAGCGTCGTTCGCCTCCGGATACCGACAATGCGTGGGTCGCTGCAATATCGCTTGGAGTACAGGAAGAACGTCATGGCTAGCCCGGACACCATCCGTCCTACGAGGATGAGGTAGAGCCAGTTCGCGGCATACGCGAGGCTATGGAGAACGTTCCCGATTATAGCACAGGCACATGCAAAGTGCAAAGGGAGTTTGTATCCACCTGTCGAAGGGGATCTCAATGAATGAGGGACTGTTGACAGGCTTAAGCATTACTTACCACCGTCATATTTCATCATTGGAACTAGGGCCAGACCGGCAAATACAACAGGAATGCCGATGGTGAGACCGGAGAACGTAGACGTGCCTCCTAGATGTTTTGCGTATTCGCTCGAAGACGAGACTACGATGAAGAATGTGACCTGTTCGATTGGTCATCAAAGGAAGATAAGGGCATTCAGAATGAGTACATACCTGCATCAGCATACTGGCTACGAGCATGGTGACCAAGGATCGCAATTTCGGCAATCTAAAATCATCACTGTCATCCGCGGTTTCGTGGCCTGCACTGTGCCCTTCCTGTGCACGGGAAGGGAAAGGCTGCCGAGAGAGTAGACTAGGGTCGCCTTCACTTTGGCGATGTCTGAGACGTGCCAGGTCAAACACTGTGGAGGGAATGCTCAGTCCGTAGCGTGCCATGGTAAATGTGTTCAATGCTCGAGGTGAATGTATCGCCTACATATATATTGCCTCGACTAGGATGACCAATGCATGACTCGGACACGCTAAGTAGCAATGATGCAATCCTGACTCGAAGGCGCGTATGCCTTGAACTGCCCCGAGGCTCGAAAACCCAGGCGGTGGACATCTTGAATCGGCCATGGCTTCAGCCCACTCGTCTCCGATTCGGACTCTCTAGCAGTCAGGCCAATCATGGTTTGTCCGGTTACACAGCAGAACGGAGACGGACAATGAAGTACCTCGTCTCAAGAAGGTCACCTAAAGTTGCGCAAGAACAATAGGGACGTTCAGAGTTCGCTGTCCGGGCAGCTATCCCGCCAGCTATCCCGTCCAGATTTCCGAGGCTCGACGCCGGCAAACGCCGACAGCGAGCCCAGCTGTGATCGCGTTCGGGACAGCAGAGGGCTCGATATCGGCGCGGGCGCTCGGCAACCCGTCGGAACCTAAAAACAAGTGGCTCACCGAGGAAGCCCTAACCCTTGTAACTCGGGCTCTACATACCTTACTAGAAATTTAACAAGCCATGCAAGAATATAGCTGTCCTGAAATTTGCTGGTAGACACTTGCTCGAAAGGGCACCATCCTACCTAACCATAAGATTTCGGACATTCGGCTCATATAAGCTATCTGTCTTCGTCAACCAGTAAATCACCGTGTGACAACTACTAAATTCGGTGAGTGTGTGGCCAACGTAACCAGTGTGACAGTCGCCCCGCTAGCTGAGTACTACTCCGTTTTTATTACAGAGACTACCATAGCTCATATTCTATATAGCAGCTGTTGACTCAGCACATATCGATACCAAGTGCGCAGAATAAAGCATGGTCACTCACCTGTGACGTTATGTGATCAGTAATTCCGTATTTGGTATTCGTAACATGCGTGGTACATCGCTTAGCCGCCCGCGTTCACTCCCCGAACAAATAATACGATTTGGCTCGACATATCGCACACAATGTTCCATAGCTTATTCGACCATCACAAACATATCTACAAGAAACAGGTTTGTTCGCTCAATTGGCTTATTATGTGGGCCACCGCTCGCCGAGATCGCCTCACCTGGATCTCCGACCAGGCGTTCTAGTAAGGTAGGGTTAGGGCTTCCTCGGTGAGCCACTTGTTTTTAGGTTCCGACGGGTTGCCGAGCGCCCGCGCCGATATCGAGCCCTCTGCTGTCCCGAACGCGATCACAGCTGGGCTCGCTGTCGGCGTTTGCCGGCGTCGAGCCTCGGAAATCTGGACGGGATAGCTGGCGGGATAGCTGCCCGGACAGCGAACTCTGAACGTCCCTAATATGATATCGCACCTTTGGGCGCGCGGATGCATGTCCTGCGGCCTTACCTATCCGGCCTCAGAGTTAGGTAGTATAGTCTCATACCAAAACCCTCCTTACCGCGCTAGGGATTTCTGTCAGGAGGCCTCAGCACAACTCTCAGCAGTTGCCAAAACGTCCGATCGACATCGGGGTTTTTCGCAGTCGGCGGATGCCGACGCAGGACCACGGTGAGCGCCAGCCTCAAAGTAATGGACCCGCTGGGGTGGACTTGTCCACGTGGACTCCGCGGAGCTGGACTGACCAAACAATGACGCCGATAACGAGCTGATTAGATTCACATTATATAGTCTACTGACTAATTGTAAACCGTTATTACTGCCCTATTGTCACTGATCACAATATTTCTTACTAGTAGTCTGACCAACTGTTTCGTGATATGCAGCGAAGCGCATTAAGCTGTGTACACATTTTCGCGTCGACGGGTACAAGTAGATACCGTAATGAAGTAGCCTAATGTATTCTAAGTGATGTTGGTCCCAAATCAGCATGCTATGGCGTGAGTAGGCGTGAGTATGACTCGGATGATCCGCGAATTGGCTAACAGTGAGGGCAGGCGGTAGGCTCACGGCGGGCGAGCAGGCGAGGGGGCGGGTGTGCCTGACAGGGGTGCAGGTGCTGTGCGAGCAGGCAGGTGCATGAGCGAGCGGATGGGCGAGCGTGTGCGGACGGGCAAGTGCATGGGCGAGCACGCAGACAGGCAGGGCAGTAATGGGCCATGATGGGCAGCAGCGGATGCTGCTCGTCGTGTGTGGGCACCACAAACGACCGCGTGGCAGGCTGCCAGTGATGCGCTCGTGTCCTCGTACGCGTCGAGAGCGGTTGTTGGCGCGACAGACTAGGCTTGTGGGCGTGTTTGCGCACGGCGGGCACATGGCGAGCGCCTGTATGGCGGCGGCGGATGGACGTCCGCCAGCGCGCGCATGACGCGAGGGGTTCATTGACCTCGCCGGTTTGCCACGGTCGCGTGGGCTGGCAGGTGGCCGAGTGGATGAGCGGGCGGGTAAGCGGGTGAGCGAAAGCAGGTGGGTGCCCAAATGCCCGAGCATACGAGTGAGCGGGGTCGATGTAGATGGCTGCGATTGCTCGGTAAGCCCTTATGTGCTGCGCGAGTGCACGTACCAGCGTGCCTGGCAGGCCCTTGTTCATCGCGGTCCTGCTCGCTGAGTTGGGTCGTGCTGGGCTTGGGCATGCCGTGTCGGTGTGCGGCGAGCTGGCCCTCGCCGTACCCGTATGCGTCTGCGCGTGATATATCCCATCCACAAGCAACCGGCTCTTGCTAGCGGGTCCGTGCGCGGCATGTTGAGGCTCGTTGAGTCGTCAGGCGCATACCTGGTGAGTTTGCGCTGGCGGGCTTGTGTCGCTTGCGCACGCGCACACCGGAGTCGTCTTCACCGCGCTCATGCGCATTGGGCATGCGCGCGCGCGGCGCTGGGGCCGTCTCCG